GCAGCTGCGTTTGCCCTCGCAGCTGGATCTGCTCAAAGATTCGAGCTAGGTTGCTTGTCTGTGTGCGTCCAGGGCGAATTACCCGCAGGTTTGCAAAACAGCCATACGCACAAACTTTTCAAAGATTGGACATTGAGACCAATACGGAAGCGAAATGGAACTGCCAATGCGCGTCTACATCGACCTGCCGCACACCTTCCGTTGATCGCGGGCCGGGGTCGCTCCCAATTCCGCTGCGAATAGATTTGCGGGGGGTGAGACACTTGACGAGAGAAAGCACTGCGGCAATATAATGAGGACAGTGGGCTTTCACTCATCAGTATATGTTCAATGCGCGCTGGCGCTGAAGACAAACGACGGCAGAACGTCCGATGTTAGTGACGAGGAGGAGGAAGAAGAAGAGGAAGGAAGACTTGAGCAGCGGAATGGGATGACAGAGGAGCAGGAGGAGAAAGAGAAGGATAATGAGGAGGATGAGGAGGCGGAGGAAGAGGAGGAGGAGGGGTAGGAGAAGCAGGAGGAAGAGGAGGAGGGAAGGGAGACGGAGGAGGAAACAAAGGAGGAGGAGGAGGAGGAGGCCTCTTAGAAGCTGGGAAAAGCAGAAGGGAGGAGGAGAAGGAGGAGGATGAGGAGGATGAGAAGGAAAGAACGGAGGAGGAGGGGGAGGGGGAGGAGGAGGAGGACGACGAAGAGAAAGAGGAGGACGATAAGAAACCGGGAGCAGGAGGAGGAGGAGGAAGAAGAAAGGAGGAGGAGGAGGAAGGAGGATGAGGAGGAAATTGATGAGGAGAAGGACGATACGAAACCATGAGGAGGAATGACGAGGAGGATGAGGAGGAGGAGGGGAAGGAAGGAGGACGAGGCGGAGGAGGAGAAAAAGGAGGGGATCGAGGAGGAGGAGGAGGGAAGAAGGAGGAGGAGAAGGAGGAAGCAGGGAGGAGGAAGCAGGGAGGAGGAGGAGGAGGAGGAGGAGGAGGAGGGATGGATGATGATGATGATGATGATGATGATGATGATGATGATGATGATGATGATGATGATGATGATGATGACGATGGTGCTGATGATGATGACGACGATGGTGATGATAATGATAATGATGATGATGATGATGATGATGATGATGATGATGATGATGATGATGATGATGATGATAATGATGATGATGATGGTGATGATGAGGAGGAGGGAGGAGGAGGGAGGAGGAGGAGGAGGAGGAGGAGGAGGAGGAGGAGGAGGAGGAGAGGAGGAGGGGGAGGCGGCCCCTCTGCGCGGCCAACGGGCCGCGAGGGGGGCGGCCTCTCGCCCTGCAGAGGGCAGAAGATCCCCCCCCCCACGATGCAGCAGGGGCCCGACCACAGGAAACTGAGGTCGGGCATGTCCTCCTAAGGGCGGCTTATGGACGACAAATTGGCAGGCCCAGCGGGCCAGAGGCGTGCTAAGATCTCCGGTAACTGGTTCACAACTCTTCTAGTTCGGGCGCGAGGGGCGGCCCCTGGGGGTCCCCCGGCGACAAGTATCCCGACCGCAGCCCGGGAAGGTCCGGGGAAGGTCCCGGGAAGGTCTACTCAGAGATGGTTTTCCTCCTGGGTACGGCCTCTCAGGCCCCCCAGAGCGCGCCAAGAGGGCCCCAAGAGGCCCCCAAGACTTCCCAAGAGGCCCCCAAGACGAACAAAGGACGCTCCAAGGTGCCGAAGATGATCCCAAGACGGCCCAAGAAGCCGCCAGAACGCTCTAAGTGGCCTCCAAGAGGCCTCGCAAGAGCGCCCCGAGAGGCCAAAATCATAAATGTTACTATGGTTTTGGAAGGATTTTGGCCTTGTCGCATTTTCGGCTTTCCGATACTCCAAGACGGCCCAAGAGGCCCCCAAGAGCGCACGAAGACGGCTCAAGAGGCCCCCAAGAAGGCCCCCAGAGAGCCCAAACGGGCCCCGACACGGCCCAAGAGACGCCCAAGACGGCCCAAGAGAGCCCCAAGACGGCCCCACGAGGGGCCAAAGATGGGGACCACGAACCGAAACCTCGAGTCTTCCGCCCCAAGAGGGCCCCAGGAGGCCCCGAGAGGCCCCCAAGATGGCCCAAGATGCCGCCAAGAGGCCCCCAAGAGACCCCAGGAGGCTTCAAGGAGGCTCAAAAGAGGCCCTACAAGGCTTCAAAAATGTCTCCCAGGCGCCTCCGAACGGCCTCTCAACAGACCCCAGGGCCTCCCAAAGAAGCATCTGGACGACGGCCCTGTTTGGCCCCAAGAGCGCCGCAAGATGCCATCGAGAGGCTTCCTCCTCCGCCCTTTTCTCTTCCTCCTCCTCCTCCTCCTCCTCCTCCTCCTCCTCCTCCTCCTCATATGTATCTTCATCCTCCTCCGTTCCTTCTCATCCTCTTCTCCTCCTCCCCTCCCCCTCCCCATCCTCATCTTCCTCCTTCCGGCGGCGCCGAAATGGCCCCGAGCCCACGCGGAAGCAGTAACGATCATGCAATACGGGCCGGCGGAGTGAGCGAAGCGATTGAATAAACATGAATCAAACATAACTGATTCGGGTTAGTCTGGAGAGCAGGAACAAAAACGTCACCTGACTATTTGTCTACGTTTCTTGAATACAGCGGAGGCCAGTCCACAAGAAACCTTTTACAAGAAGCCCAACCCTGAGACCGCAGGGCGTCCCTTGATGTTCGGTGCGGGAGCGCCGCGCTCTCCATGGCAAGGCCACCGAAATCCGAGGAACCCAGGACACCCAGGAGAGACAAGCGAAGGTGCTTGCTGGCACGGGCCTCTCCATTGGGGTCGCCCCGGCGCGCGAGAAGCCGTGCAGCGAACGCACCCGCAGATGGCATCGAGCAGGGCGGGGCTGCTTGGTAAAAACGCCCCGACACGCGCCCCGACGCGCGAGAAGCCGTGCAACGAACGCGCCCGCAGAGGGCATCGAGCAGGGCGGGGCTGCCTAGTAAAAACGCCCAGGGCCGTTTTCGGCGGACGCCGTGGAGCGGGTCAGGGTGGTGACTCCTCTTTTGTAGAGGGACCCAGGGATACACAAATAAGCACACGCAAATAACAAGACCCCCCATATGTTCGCATATTCTGGGATTTTTCGTCTTCCCCAAAACTTCCCATATCTTCCCATGTTTTCCGGGGAATCGACGATGAACTGTGTCTGCGTGGTTTTTCCCCTCCTGCTCTTCACCCTGGCCGCCATGCGGCCTCCCCCCCGCGGGGTCCAGCGCACGGCTGCGGGCCTCGCGTGGGCGACGATCAAAAAAAAAGGGGTCCCACGCGGAGAGGTCGTTGATGGGCCTGTTTTCCACCACCACCACCACCATAAGTTGGTGGGGGAGGGGGTCCTCCTCCTCCTCCTCCTAGTCCTCCTCCTCCTCCTGCTCCTCCTCCTCCTCCTCCTCCTCCTCTTCGCAACATCTGGGGTGCCGTGGAGCCCTTCGGCGAGGTCGGCTCGACGTCATCCTCCCCCTGGTCTGGACTCGGTGACGAGCGGGATGGACGCGGCGACTCCCAGAGAGGTGGAAGAGCCGCCAGGGCGGCGCCACCAGGGGCCCCTGCCGCGGTCTCACCGACCTGCAGGCAGGGGCGAGGTGGAGGCGTTGGACGCCGCAGCGGCGACCAAGGAGGCGGTGCGAGGCCAGGCCGCGTCGCTCCTCGAGGCCGACCGCCGCGGCTGCGCCGATGCGGGGCCGAGCGGCACTTCGGTGGCTCGAACGCAAGTCCCAGCCCCCAGGGGCACCCACGAGGTAAACAGCGCGAGGGGCTGGGCTCAGTCGCCGTGGTTTTTGCTGGAGCCTGCCCCCTGGTGCACCCACGGAGTAAACAGCCCGCGGGGCAGGCCCGCCTCGACGGGAGCACCTGGAGGTGGTGCTACCGCAGCTCATGGATCGACCTCGGGGGCGCCGAAGAGCCAGTCGGCGAGTTCGGCTCGACGTCATCCTGCCCCTGGCCTGGCCTCGGTGGACAGCGAGCTGGACGCGGCGGCTCCCAGAGGGGTGGAAGTGCCGCCAGTGCGGCGCCACCAGGGGCCCCTGCCACGGTCTCACCGACCTGCAGGCGGGGGCGAGGAGGAGGCAGAGGTCGCCGCAGCGGCGACCGATGAGGCGGTGCGTGGCCAGGTCGCGTCGCTCCTCGCGGCCTACCGCCGCGGCTGCGCCGCTGCGAGGCTGCGCGGTGCCGCGGGTGAGCGTACGTCCGACCCAGGGGGCCCCCGTGGGGCCGAGCCTGGTCGGGCTGCTGGATTCGTCTCGGATCCTGGCGGCGTGGGGCCCCTGGTGGTCTCCGCGGGGCCCGTTCCTGGGGTGCCGCCAGGCCCGAGGGCTTGGGGGTTAGTGCGGCTGTCAAACACCCCGCGTTGCGGGGTGCTAGGTGGTTGCGCTCACGTGGCGTCGGGTCTCCTCGTCGCCTGGGGCCGTGCCTGTGCACGGCAGCGAGGCGTGACGGCGTGACCGTTCGCCTTTAGGCCGTGCGCGTCCTCCTCCTCTTCGTCCTCCTCTCCTTGTCCTCCTCCTCGTCCTCCACCCCTCCAACTTCTGGTTGTGGTGGTGGTGGTGGGAAACAGGCCCATCAGGCGTAGCGACCTGACGCGTCGGCTTGCGCGGGCCGCCAGCGGGGCACGCTGCTCTGGAGACGAGGGCGCCTGCCCGCGGCCTGGCGCGGGCAGCTCGCGCGCCAACGTCGGCGCAGCCGGCCCCGTTGTGCTTTTTGCGTCGCTCGGTTTTGGAACCCAGGGGGCGGCGGCCGCTTCCCTTTTTGTGCGCGCCGCCAGCCGTGCTGCTGCATCTCTGGGGGGCGTCGCCTGTCCCATCGCGCCAACCATCCAGGCTGAATCCATGCCGAATCCAGGTCGAACGCGCCGAATCGGTGTCAGACCCACGTCGGATTCGCGTCGAGACCGCGTGGGAGTGCAAACAAGGACAGCAATCTACAGGACAGGGAAGGCCCCCCGAAAATGCAACAGGACAAGTGACGTCCCACAAGTCCCCCCCCCGTCCAGGGCGGCGGCAACCAGGAAGGCCGCCACCACGAGGGTGGTCTCTGGATCGTACGTCCAGGTGGCCCGTGCCACGTCGGCGCATTCCCGCAGCACGTCCATCGAGCGAACGGCGTTCCGCGCCCCAGCCAGGCTCCGGTGCAATCAGGAGGCCCCTTAAGCCCAGTGGGATGGAGGGGGATGAGGAGGAAAAGGAGGGAGTGGGGAGGAAGGAGGAGGGAGGAGGGGAGGATGAGGGAGGAGGGGAGAGTGGGGACGAGAAGAGGAAGAGAAGCCATGACAACCACAAGGGCAACCACGACGACGGTAGCCCCTTATGACCCTGATACACTTCACATATCCGTTTCCTTCTCCTTATCCCCCTCCATCTCCTCATGCATTCCTTTTTCCTTCTAAATGACTCCTCCCTGTCGCGCCCCAAATTTTGACGCCCGACATGGGTACCGAACAAATGGGTACGATGCCCAACAACAAATGTTGTCCCAAACCAACAGCGGCCGCTGTTGCGCAGGCGGCCTTCTGTCTCAAATGTACACAGGCCGCGGCGACACCGACGGCGAGTCCTGTTCATAACGAACAGGAACCGCAGTTGGGCATTGTACCCATTCTTTCCGTACTCATCTCGTTCGTGCAGACCGAATCCGGTCGAAAGGGCATGCCGGGCGTGTGGCCTGAGACCTCCTTACAACTGATGGTCCTGAAGCTTGGAATTTGCCAGAATGTCACAGATGCAGGGCGTTGGATTTCAAAATGTGGCTCTGGCCAAAGCGACTTGCGCAGTAATTCAAAATTTTGTAGCGATTTCAAGGATGCAGGGCGGGCCGATTTCAAAATGTGGCTCTCGCTTTAGCGCCGCGCGCGTTCGTCTGAAAAAATTGCAATAGCTTCCCGGATTGAGGCGCCCTCCTTTTTCAGATGTAGCTCTCACCTCACCGCCGCGCACAGTTGTAACAGTTTCATGGTAGGGCGGGTCGGTCTCAACATGCAATTCTCGCCTGAGCGTCGCGCACAGTCGTCTTCGAAGTTTGCAACGGTTTCACGAATGCAGGGGGGGGGCCTTTTATGATGTGGCTCTCGCCTCAGCGCCGCGCACATTCGTCTTACAAGTTTGCAACAGCTCCGCGGAGGCTGGTTCCTTTTCAAACGATGGTTCTCGCCATAGCGCCGCGCACATTCACTTTCAGAGCTTGCAGCAGAAAGTTCTCATTGACAACGTCCGCAAAGCTGTGTTGTGGCACGATGCTGGACTGTCAGGGCGAAAGAGTTCCGTTGATTCGTGGTGTTGGGGTCTCAGAAACAGTGTGCTGGCACGCTTCAAGATCGTCTAGACGAAACTGTAACGTTGACTGGCAGCGGTGAAGTCCGAGGAATCGTGTTATGGAACAGTTCAGGATTTTCAAACGGTTGTCTTCAAACGGGGCACGTCCCTCAGTAAAAATGTATCCTTGTCATTGGGGGCCTATGGAAAGGGAGCTTGGAGGGAGGGTTTAGTGCAATATCGTTGATGAGTCTTGGGCTTGTACTGGTCCTCCTGCTCCTCCTCCTGCTCTTCCTCCTCCTGGGGTGCTGAAGAAGGAAATGAGGGAGGCCCCTTGAAGGCAGAGGTGCTGAAGGAGGAAGAGGATAAGGAGAGGAGGGGTAAGAGAAAAAAGGAATGAGAAAAGCAGGATAAGGAGGAAGGGGGGAATTGGGCTCCTGGATATGGGGGAAGGGGGATAAGGGGGAAAGGGGAAAGGGGGACGGGGGGAAAGGGGAGGGGCGGGATCCTTGAATTCCGGGGTATGCCTCTTGACTTTTTTTCCGAGGGAAGGGGGTCCGAAAGAAAGCCGGGAACAATGCCCACCTCCTCCTCCTCTGCCTCCTCCTCTGCCTCCTCCTCCTCCTCCTCCTCCTCCTCCTCCTCCTCCTCCTCCTCCTCCTCCTCTTCCTCCCTTCTCCTCCTCCCTCCTCCGCCTCGCTCCTCCCTCCTCCCTCCTCCTCCTCCTCCTCCTCCTCCTCCTCCTCCTCCTCCTCCTCCTGCTCCTCCTCCTCCTCCTCCTCCTCCTCCTCTTCCTCCTCCTCCGCCAGAGGAGCCAGCTCGCCTCGAACCTGCTTGGCTGGAAGCCCGAACCCTCACGGTCGGAGCCCACGCTCCGCCCCAGGTCCGGTTCCGGCGCTCCGGAGCGGCCCCGGCCGCGGCGGCTGGACCGCTCGGCGGGAGGGCGGCGTGCCGGGCATCGCCGTGCCGCGACGCGGGCCGTCTCCCGCCTCCTCGACGCGCTCGCGGCGGCGGTGCGCCGCGGCGGAGCGCCCACGGTGCGGGGCTGGCCGCGGCGCTCGTCTCGGCGCTGCAGGCGTCCGAGCCCGGAGCGGTGGCGGTCCCCTCTCCGCCGCTCGTTCCACGAGGGGCCCTGCGGGGATCACTGCCCGTCGCCATCGCTCGGACTACCATTCCCCGTGCGTTCGTCGGTTTCGCGCGCGTGTTTTTCGCGAGATGACCTCCAATGCTCCTCCTCGCCGAGAAACAATTGCACACGTCCGAGCGATGCCAAGGCCGCTTGGCCCTGGGGAGGAAGGCAGCGGCGGCGGGGGAGATGCAGGGAACGGCACGGGAAGGGGTTCCGGTTGCTCTGGGTGATCCTGCTCGTCAGCCTGCGGATGCCGATGGGGTTCGTGCCGAAGGACGTGCCTCTCCGCATGGCGGATTGGGGGATTCTTTCTCCCGGTCCTGCCGTGCCTGGTCGTCCGTCGGCACAGGCTGGCGGAGTCCGTGGAGGCGCCAATCTACCTGGAGGTGGAGTTGGAGAATTCATATAGTGTCGGGCAAGGGGTGATGGGGGGTGACCCCCCCCATAACCACCCGCCCGATAGTGGGGAGCCGTCTGGTCTTCCGGGGTATGCGGATCTTCGTTTCGGAATCGATGATCGTCCTGATTATCTTCCTGGAGACATCGATCGCCTTCCTGCTGCTGCTCCTGTCTGTAAAGTCTCGTGCCTGACGTTTATGGATCTGCCGAGTCGGAGGCCGAGGGCAGAGGGACTGCCGCAGCTGCAATGCCGCGCCGTGCCCACAGGCCAACTGGTCAACTGGGAGGCCGTGGACAGCAGCAGAGCGCTCCCGAGAGCATCGTCCGCTCCGCCGTCCACAAGAAATAGCCCGCAATACTGAGATGTACCGTTGGGGAATACATTTGAAGTTTTACGAAGGCACTCGGCCCAAGTATTAGCCCACTCTAAGCCGAGGTAAGCCTCTGGCCTGTATGATCGGGTGACGTCATTCTTCGCTTCAAGATAGACCCACACCATTCCATATCATTCCACTTCTCCTCCTCCTCCGTCTTTCTCCTCTTCCTCCTCCGCCTCCGGCCTCCTCCTGTCCTTCTCCCTTCCTCCATCTCCTCCCCATTGTCTACCACCTCCTCCTCATCCGTCTCCTCCTCCTGCGCTCGCCTTCACTTCCTCCATCTTCTCCAGTCTTCCTCTTCCTACTCCGCCTCCTCCCCCTCCTCGTCCACATACTCCTCCTCCGCTGGCCTCATCCTCCTCCTCAGCTTCCCCCTCCTCCCCCTCCCCCGCCCCTCCTCCTCCTCCTCCTCCTCCTCCTGCTCCTCCTCCTCTTCCTCCTCCCTTTCGCCTGATCATCTTTCTGATCCTCCTCTTCCTCTTGCACTGGAGTCGGACAGGGAAACTGCCTTGGAAGAAACAGAACGACCTGGCTAGGAACACCTCGCCACGCCCATGGCTGCAATGCCACCCTCGCGAAACTGTCCTCAACGGAATCCCTCGCCCATACATCTCTCCTTATCCCCCATCGTCCGTCTATCCCTTCCGTGTCGTTATCCTCCTCCTCCTCCTCATCCTCATCCTGATCGTCCTCTTCAGCAGCAGCAGCATCATCAATATCATCAGCAGCATCATCATCAGCAACAGCATCAGCCTCCAACTCCCTATCATCATCCTCATAATCATCATCATCATCATCATCATCATCATCATCACCATCACCATCATCATCATCCTAGACAGCATCATCATCCTCATCATCAGCATCATCAGCATCATCATCAGCATCATCAACATCATCATCATCATCGACAGCATCGTACACATAACCATCATGTCGTAATCTGCATCGCAGCCATCGTCATCACCGCCACCACAGCCATCATCAGCATCATCATGATCATCGTCGAAGACAGCGTCAACATCATCGTCGTCAGCATCACGAGAATCATCCTCATCAACAGCACACACCATCCTTGTCATCGAACGTAACATGATCACCACCATCATCATCACCGAACTCCATCACTGACACCACCGTTATTATCATGAACATGATCATCATCATCATCATCATCATCAACATCATCATCATCATCATCATCATCATCATCATCATCATCATCGTTACCATCAGCATCATCATCGACCGAGGCACCTGCATCATCACCATCAGCATCATCATCGGCATCACACGCATAACCGCCCCCATTACCATCACCGTCATCACCTTCACCATTGTATTCGTATAATAACTGTCGTCGTTCCGGTCGTAGTCATAATGTCAAAATCACCACCGCCACCACAACCGCCACCATGTTCACCAACATCACGATCATGAGAAGCATCGTCCTCATCTGCATCATCATCGTACAAATCATGATAATCATCCTCATCCTTATCATCATCATCATAACCATCATAATCATCATCATCAACAACATCACCATCCTCTTCGTCATCATCATCATCATCACGAACGGTATAGCCGTCATTGTGGCCACTACCATCGCAATCATCACCAGCATAAGCGCATGTTTCACCATTGTCACCATCGTCGTCGTTATCGTCGTTATCGTCATCATCGTAAGGACCAAAGTCATCATCAGCAGATTCCGCCGATCCCCGCCCGCCGGGGGTGCAAAAGACGCGTGAGATGATTGGCTGTGCTCCTTCCCTGTTTCCCCTCCCCTGGGACCTGAAATCCGACCGGAAGGGGAGGAGGGCCGGGGTGAGCCCTTGGAGGGTCGGGGGGGGGGGGGAGCGGGGGGGGGGAGAGTTAGGTCGGGCATGTACTCCTACAGGCGGATTTTGAAAGGAACATAAAAAATAGTCAGAATGCATTCAACAATAATCCGCCGCCCCCCTTGCGGGGCCATCAGGCTGCGAGGATTAAGGTTGCTGCTCCTTGCACCAGTTCCAGCTTCCAGTTTCAATTGTTACAATACTGCTTTCTGTTTCCTACTGTAAGTTGCTACTGTCCGCGCGAGGGGGGGGAGCCGAAAAGGGCCCTGGTTAGCGTCCCACAAGGGGTCTCAGAATTCCTGGGGGGGCGTGGGACATGTAAATACTTGAGATTCGTGCCCCCGAGGCTATAACCCTTTGTAAATTAATCAAAGTTCGCGCCCCCGAGGCCACGACCCCTTGCAAATTACGCCACATTCGCGTTCCCGAAGCGACGAACCCGTATAAATTGGGCAGCGGGCGCGCCCCCGGCCACGAATCCGCCCCGTGGAGGCTGCCGAAAAGGCGCCACCCTTCTCAAGAGCAGAAGAACGGCAATTTTCTGTATTTGGAAATGTGCTCCGCTGGTATTGTTTTGCCCCCCCGCCGTTTCTTGAAAATTCGGCGGTGGGCGCCACATTCGCGCCCCCCAGGCCACGATCCCTAGTAAATTACACCACGTTCGCGCCCCCGAGGCCAGGATTCCTCGTTAATTACACCAAATTCGCGCCCCCGAGGCCACGACCCCTTGTAAATTACGCCGCATGGGCGCCCCCGAGGCCAGGATCCTAGTACATTACGCCGCAGTTGCGGCCCCGAGGCCACGCGATCCGAGTGAATTACTCCAAGTTCGCGCCCCCCAGGTCACGATCCCATGTAAATTACGCCACATTCGCGCCCTCGATGCCACGATCCCTTGTAAATTACGCTGGATGCGCACCCCCAGGCTACGAATCCACATCGCGGAGGCTGCCCAAAGGCGGCACGCCTTCTCCTGAGCAGAAAAACTGCAATGTCCCAAATACTGCCTGAAACAATCAATCCCTAGCCGTTCCCAGAGCGCTTCCAATGAACAACTGGAAGAAAATGCTCTAAGAAGACAACAAAGCGATCGACAATGATTTCAGGATCTCGATCTGTGTTGCTCATCGCCAGCCGCCCTAGCATGACGTTCCCGAATGTCATCAAGACGGTGCCCAGACATCCCAATATAGCTCTGATGTATCCCATTCTGATAGAGAGGGGGCCGGCGGCAGGGGGCGAAGTCCTCACGGATAATAATAATAATAATAGTAATAAAACTCGAAACATCGTCCCCAGACTGTTTACTTACTTGTTTGAATCTTTTCCTGTAGAGGGGGATGCCCGACGTAAGGGTAGAGGGAGGGTTCCCAAACTCATCAACGCTCTCCTGGGGCCTCTGGAGAAACCATGTCTACACTCCGTGGCCGCCAAGATGCATACGCATCGATCTACGTTTCCCCAAGCAGGCTTCCAACACGCACAGGAATCCAGGAGGAGGACCAAGATAGCCTCAGACTGCCCAAGAAACCTCAAAGAAGCCCCACGACGGTTCCAAGACGACCCCCGAGAGAGCCCCAAAAAGCGAGAATCGTCCAAATCCCATGGGAAAACGTGTAGTAGCTTCAACACATTCGATTGGCTAAATAAGCAAGAAAAAAACACGTAACCCTTTTGGAGGGGACCTAACTTAGGAGGGCCAAAACCATTAGTCCAAACCGCCCAGACTGTTTATCTCTAGTGCGAGGACGGGGACCTCAGTGAGGCCACGTCATCGTGTTATGAGGGTCAGGGTTCGTTTGTGCTGGGTGATTTGGTCTCAAGCGTGCAAGACAGCTCAAGGGGCTCCCATGGTCGCTCCAAGACGGCACAAGCAGCCCCCAAGAGGGCCCCAAGACGGCTGGAGTCGGTCCCGAGACGGCCCACGAGGCGCCAAAGATGGCCCAAGAGAGCCCCAACCGGGCCCCAAGAGTGGCCCAAGAGACAAACCTCCAACTGCCCTTCCGAGCCCTCTGCCCCAAGAGGACTCCCGAGGCCGCCAGCAGGCGCCCACAGAACTCCCAGGGGGGCCCGAAGAGGCCCCCAAGAGGCCCAACAGAGGTCCCCAGAGGATCCCCACGAAGGCCAAAAAAGGCCTCGCCCGTTGACTTGATCCCTCTGCCGGGGGTCGACGGACTGGCGTAAGCTGTTCGAATCCACACCACAAGCAACGTCTCCTCGCGACTCCATCCTCTCTCCTCCGCCCGTCCTCTCCGCTCCTCCCAGTCTCCCACGTCTCCTCCATCCCGCCTCGCCTACCGCCCTCCATCGTCCCGCAGAGTCGTTTTCCCTTGTCCCAGCCAGGCAGTTCGTTCTCTTCGCGCAGGCTACAGCAGGCCTATGGACTGGTATGGGCCCAAAGCTGGCCCGGAAGAGCGGCGCGCGTCCGCCCGAGCCGAGATGGCTGCGGAGACTCTGGCATGGAAGGGAGGGTCTTGCTGAGCATCGGGAGCAGGCGGGATGAGGATACCGAAAAGGAGAGGGGACATCCAGAAAGCAAGGGAGAGAGGAAGGGGGAAGAAGAGGAGGAAGAGGAGGAGAAAGAGGAGAAAGACAATGAAACGGGACAAGGACCGAGAACACGCGGACGAAGACGGAGCATGTGGGCGGAAGAATCTCCAACAACAGCGAGCCCGACGGGGAAGGGCGACCCGTATCACAGGATATGGTTCAGAACAAGCATGTGCATGCGGTGTTACGCTATATTCTCTGACTGCGCCCCGATCCATTTTGAACAAGGACCGACCGCCCTAGCATTCCGTGTTGCACACCCGGTCTAGGATCCGAGCGCAGCAACGGCCCAATATCAAAGGCTAACGAACGCAGAAACGCCTGAGAGGTTCATGCAAGAGGAGTGCTCAAACAATTGGTTCAGGACGAGGAGGAGGAAGAAGAGGGGTTGGGAAACACGCGGTGCAGAGAGGCTCTGTGATGGGGCTACAAGCACGCTCTTGGTGGGCCATGGGCAGACCACGACGCCTCGCCACTGCCTGACCATCGCTGGCGGCGCGAACACGGGGGGGCGGCCTTCATAGACGGCGGCGGGGCGTCTGAGGAAGGGTTGCTCAGGCGCAATCGGGCGCTCTTGAATGGGCCCTTACCTTCGCCATCGCTCGGCCGTCCACTCCCTGTGCACATCTTTCAGTTCCGTGCGTGTTTGTCGGGTTGCTCGATGCTCCAGGATGCTCCCCAGTGGTCTTCGCCGAGGAGGATGCACAGGTCCGAGCGATGGCAAGCTGCCTTCTAAACTCCTCCTCCTCCTCCTCCTCCTCCTCCTCCTCCTCCTCCTCCGCCTTCTCCTGGGGGAGCACACGGTGACACAGGCACACGACTCGGAGGCCCGCGCGGACCTGTCAAAGAAGCTTGCATGCTTCCGTCCTGGCTGCTTCCCCGACTCTCAGCAGGCCGGCCCCCTCGCGCCACCCTTGACCACCTACCAGACCACCCCAACCCAACCCGAAGACCCGAATTTCGGGCTGGGGGGGGTAAGGGTTCCACGTGTGTTTTTGTCGATGTTTCCCGCCCCCCCCACTGGAAATCGAGGGTAAATCTGAGCCTTCGGGTTGGGTTGGGGTGGTTCGGTGGGTGGTGAACCCTGGAATCCGACGCTGCGAACACATGCAACATCGCAAAACTTACGGCCACAGCTCTACACCCCAGCTTTCCGCAACAGCTGCTTCGGATCGGACCGATCCGCGGTGGTCCCAGCCACCGGAAGCGAGCGAGAACGTCCAGCGTGAACCGAATCAACGCCCAGATCTCAGAGCGTTCCCGTGCAGGCGACTGGCATGTGAACCACGCCCCTGCTCACGCCAGAACTCTACGAAGGGGCGGAACGAGGGAATGGATCACATTCCAGCCTGTGTAGGCACAAGTGTTGCCCACGCCCTGCTGCGATCTGGCAGTCAGAGTTGAAGGCAACAGATACTGCATAAAGATACACGTTCGACATTCCGCACGGATCTGTAGGATCTGCGCTGACGCCCCGGCGGCGCTGGGGGCGCCGCCAGAAAGGCCGAAGGGCCCGACGCACATCCAAGAAATCCGCGAGATCCGACAGTCTATGTCTGCGCTTCAGAAGCGTGGGAATGTCGGGAGCGGCCAAGAGGGGGGTGTCCAAGAGGGGGGAGTGCAAATCATGACTGGCGGCATGTGCGCGGCCCAGCGGGGGGGCCAGGGACGCACTGAAATGAGGAGAGGCGCCATGAAATCTGGGGAAATATCATGGCCCGCGCCATGATATCCACCCCCCCCTGGTCATCACCCCCCTCTTTGCCGCCCCCGAGAATGCATGCCGCATCGGCCGTCGATCCCATAGCTAACAGCGTCCTCCCCTCCTCGCACCGATCCCCGGAGGCGGGAGGGAAGATGCAGAGAATGAGAATGCTCCTTCACGAAGTGAATCTTACTCTTTCGAGCCCCACGGGACCCCAGGGGGCCAACAGGAGGCTCGGGGCCCCGCAAGCGCGGACTCAGGCGAGGAGCCACACGATCGGCGCGAGCCCACGACATTCCACATCGACTTCAACTCTGACAGGAACTTTCCACGATTGCCAATAACTGCGACCAGACGGGAGGGAAGAGGCAGGAGCGGAGAGCGGAGGGAGGCCCGCCCCGTTCGCGGGACCACCGACGAGAACCAACGGCGCGGACACCGCTCTGGAGCGCAGCGCGCCGACTCCGATGGGGTGAAACACAGCACCCTGGCTATGCATACACCACGCGAAATGGTTAAGAAATCATGGGTTCAGAAATTCATGGTCTCAGAACTTGAATAAAAACCCAACATTTCTATCAAAATCTTAGGATTTACATTGAAACGTTAAGAATAATCGAGACTCTGGCCGAAAACTTAGGTTTTCTTAAGCATCGCCTAAGGTGTATGTTGCTCCCATCGTACTTGAGGACCACATCCCAGAAATAATGTCAAGCACCCGGAAAAGTGTCGAAAGAGTGTCGAAAACAGTGTCGGACGAGTGTCTCCCAGGGCCCGACATGTGAAAATCCTCGTGTTTCGGTACTTGTTTGCTGGTGCTCGACATTCTTTCTGGTGGTCAAGGGTCAAGGCTAAAGTAGGTTGGAACATCCTAAGGCTATGCAGAAGGGGAACTAAACAACGTGAACACAAAAACTCGGAGGTCCGCGCGGACTTCTCGGATCGGCGCTCAGGACCCCTGGCGGCGCCTCCGGCGCCGACCCTGGCGCGCGGAGCGCGCCAGGGGGGGGGGTCCAGCGCCGATCCGAGATCTCCGCGCGGCCCTCCGAGTTTTTATATATGTTTTGTCACTCTGGATTCCCCGATGCCTCGGACGTCGATCCCCGAGCCGCACGCGCGCCGCCAAGCCCTGCGACAGCGGGCGGGAGAGGGGCGCACCGCTGGGCCGCTGGCCCGCCCCGAGCACGACGCAGCGCCGCCGCGACGGCCGCGCGCAGGCGAGGCAGCGGGCTCCGCCGACCGTCCTGGCGTGGAGGAGCCCAGAGCGAGGAGGGGGAGGAGGAGGAGGAGGAGGAGGAGGAGGAGGAGGAGGAGGAGGAGGAGGAGGAGGAGGAGGACTCCGGACGGGGTCGGGGAGCTCCTGACCCGGGTCAGCGCAGACCCGGGTCAGTCTTGCAGAATCCAACCATCTCCTGCCAGATGCTGCACCCCAACCAGGGTCAATGCGACCCTGGCCCTGCAGGATGCTGCAAGATCGGGCGCCCTGGCCGACCCCCGCTGGCATGGACCCCAGTCCCGAGGCTCCTGGCGAGACTCCTCTGACGCTGAAGGGGCCCCAGGACACACAAATGAATACACACAAATAAAAGGATTCCCCATATGTTCCCATTTTTTTTGGAGGTGTTCGTCTTTCTCCCCACTTCCCATCCTTTCCCCACATGACTTTCCTGGGACTCGAGGATGAATTGTGTCTGTGCGTTGTGTTCTCCTCCTCTGACGCGTTCGCCAGCTTCAGGGGGACGTAAGACCTGGGCACAGGGGACTCGGAAATCCCCGACGAGGTCGTCAAAAAAATGACGAGGCCGAGCCTGCATTCTGACGAGGCCTCCCGCTGCAGACATCCCACGAAACTCCTCCTCGTCAAAATCCGAGGCGCGGTCGTCAAAAAACGATGGCGAACCCGAGTCCTGGCAAACCCGGGTCTTACGCTCCCCCGAGAAGAGGGGGAGGAGGAGGAGGAGGAGGAGGAGGAGGAGGAGGAGGAGGAGGAGGAGGAGGAGAGGAGGAGGAGGAGGAGGAGGAGGAGGAGGGAGGAGGAGGAGGAGGGGGAGGAGGAGGAGATACTTCGTATATACTTCCCGACAGTTTCCGAAAGGCCTTGCAGCCTCGGGGCGCTGCCCGCGGCGTGCCTCGCCGAGGCGCGCCCCCGGGAGGGCCCGCGGCGCCCCGGGCCGAGGCGCGGCCGCCGGGGGCCCGAGCCCCGGAGATCCCGCGTGCGGAAGAACTCAAGACGGCGTCTTTCTGCGAATGTTCGGCGAAGGATTGCAAAAAAACGAAGGATTGCAAAAAAACCAAGGATTGCAAAAAAACTAAGGATTGCAAAAAAACGGGGGGCCCTCGCCGGGCCACGGGACCGTCAAACAACGGCTCGGGATGAATAGCCGGTCCTGGGGAATCAGAGGCCTCCTAGATGGGGCCGGAGCAGATGTGGTCGGAGGAGCGCGCTGCATCGCCGATGCATCGGCGCTGCATCGGCGATGCATCGGCGATGCATCGGCGATGCGCCGGCGATGCATCGACGACGTCAGCGTTGCATCGGCGACGTCGGTGCGGGGAAACGCGGGCTCCACATCGAGCCGCATCGTCGATGCATCGGCGATGCGGCGCGATCCTCCGACCCCATCTACTCGGACCCCATCTAGGAGGCCTGGAGAGATGGGTCGAGACTTCCAAGGGCCGCGCATTGAAACAAGCACGACACCCGACCTCTGGGGCTGTGGCCCGAACGCGAACCTCCTGGCGTCGTGGCAAAGCACACGACGGACGGTTCTGGGCCTCCCCGGGCCCGCGCCAGGCTCCGGAATCGTCAAAGACGGCTCGGGGTGAAAGACCAGTCCCAGGGAAGGGCTCCCGACCTGCAGCGGTCCACGACATCAACAAAATCACGGCAACGAAGTGCGGCCGGAGCTGGATCCAAACGCGGATTTGCATCGGAAACGGATCGGGTCGCCAGCGACTCGTCCCGAATCGAATCGAAACCTCCTCGCCGCGCCCGGATCTGGCCGGCCCAGGCCGCTGCCGGCGAATCGAACGGAATCCCAGAGATCCGATGTCGTGATTATTTCCATACGCGGTCCCCAGAAGTCTCGACTCATTCTCCAGGATTGGCATTTCTGAAGGGGATCTGGGACACACAAATAAATACACACAAATAAAAATATCCCCCATATTTTCCCATATTTTCTGGGTTTTTGTCTTCCCTCCCACTTCCCATATTTTCCTGTAT